CAAGTGCCGGGTCCTGCTCTTCGGTCACAACCACGCCATGGAACGCTACAGGTTTGGGAACGAGCGGCTGGTGAGCTGCCTGGCAGAGAAAGACCTGGGGGTGTTGGTCAACAGCCGGCTGAACATGAACCGGCAGTGTGCCCAGATGGCCAAGAAGGCCAACAGCATCCTGGCCTGTATCAGAAACAGTGTGACCAGCAGGACTAGGGAAGTGATCATCCCTTTGTACTCTGTGCTGGTGAGGCCGCACCTTGAATACTGTGTTCAGTTTTGGGGCCCTCACTACAAGAAGGACATTGAGCTGCTGGAGCGCATCCAGAGAAGAGCGACAAAGCTGGTGAAGGGCTTGGAGAAAAAGCCTTACAAGGAGCGGCTGAGGGGAACTGGGGTTGTTTAGCCTGGAGAAGAGAAGGCTAAGGGGAGACCTTATCGCCCTCTACAACTACCTGAAAGGAGGTTGTAGCGAGGTGGGGGTTGGTCTCCTTTCCCCGATAACTAGCAATAGGACAAGAGGTAACGGTCTCAAGTTGCACCAGGGGAGGTTCAGGCTTGACATTAGGAAGAACTGCTTCACTGTTGGAGTCGTTAAGCATTGGAACTGGAATGGACTCCCCAGGGAGGTGGTGGACTCCCCATCCCTGGAGGTGTTCTAAAAACGTTTAGATGTGGCGCTTCAAGACATGTTTTAGTGGGCATGGTGGCATCGGGTATATGGTTGGACTTGATGATCTTTGAGGTCTCTTCCAACCATAATGATTCTATGATTCTATGAAATCCAGGTGGCTCGTTTCGTTCTGTACTAGAGACAAGGATCAGCAACAGGTTTCAGACTCCTTGATCCTTGCATTTGAACCCACAGCTGGAATTCTCATCCTTCTCTAGTGATGAGACACTGATGGCAACAATTATACTATGTCATAACCGTTTTTTACTTACTAACACCCAGAATTTTTGTAAAACTCTTCTGTGCAGTAGAGGCATCAACATGCAGTGCACTTGAAAGAGAAGATCTGCTGGTCAGATACTTTCTACAGACATAGCTTCAGTCAGTTCTATGGAAGCTGCCTATTAAATGCAGACAGGCATGTGCAACAGTCAGTAAATAAAAAGTTCTGTAAAAGATGATCTTATGTTGTGGGGAGAAGTTTTCTAGGGCATGTTTGTCCAGATCACTGCTTGCTAAAAGGCATTTTTTGTTGCTCTTAATGTTTTGTTCTCTAAATGCTTCTTGTCTTTGTTTATGAGAAACAGACCAGTAAACACAGGGGTTTGACTCTGGATTCAGAATGCTGTGGTTAAGTGATGTTTAGGTCTGTGTACCACCTTTTACTCTGTGAGCAAACAGTTACAATCTCAATTTAGAGCATAAACCGGTCAGAGTCCATGACAGAAAAATTTACAATGCTGCTCAGTCAATTCCTTTCCTGATCTGTTTTAGAGAGATGGGCAGACACCTCACACAGGTTAGGCAGAGTCTACTGTGATAGAAGGATGGATATAGCTATTTGCTAACCTTTTAACCCAGGGTGAACTGGTTTATCAGTCAGTAAGCAGAAGCCTGTTTATTCTCGAAAGATTTCCTTTTACCAGTAAAGGTTGAGATCCCAGCCCAGAGCAGAGGAGGGGTGTGGGGACATCATTTTGTTCAGAGAAGGATCTGTTTGGAGAGAGAGGAAACTGGAAGGGAAGCTTTCTGTACAAGGAACATACCTGTTGAAGTCTTTCCTGCTGGGTTCAGCCCCGTGACTGATCACCTGTAGCCATTTCACTGCCAGCTTTCAACAGGTACAAGGAGATGTTCAAGTGCCTGGGTTAAAAAATGAGTCTGTAAAAGGCTCAACTTGAAAATTAGGGAACTTCAGCTCTGATTCTAACTTTGATACTAGGCCCTTTCTGTACAAATAGGTGAAGCAATTTCCTAGATCTGAGCTCCCTCATACAGGTCCGCTTGAGTATATCTGTATATTAGCTAATACTCTGTGTAAGCCAGTGTCTAAAAATACCTACACCCTATGGGCACTTGCTAGAGCTGTGCAAGCCAACAAGTTTGCTCACAGTCAGAGATGAGGAGGAATATTTTCAGAGTTCATGCGGGTTCACCATTCCTGTCTGTTGCAACCAGATTCAAGACTGAATTTGACCTGAGTTAGATGCCAAGCCTGAGACATGCCTGGATTTTCAGAGGTTGCGTGAGCTGCAGTGAGCTTCCCAGCCAGTCTCAAGGCTTGTGGTGACATGTACAGGCTGCGTGCTTTCTCCCTGTTCTAGTACCTGCAGCAGAATTACTGCAGTGGTGCTAGCTCATGAGAGCATTACTAGGACTCTCCACACAATGACACCAGGAAAGAAAATGCCTCCAGCTCCCCAGCAGCAAGTTCATGTGAGATTTACTCGCTAAACAGTTTTAGAAACCTAAGTTGTTCTTTACGAAAATATGAGCTGCCCAATGGTAAACTTCTCTACAGCTAAACAAATTCACACCAATGTGTAAAGAGGGAGTTCAGTCTCCATTACCCCTTCTCTCCTTGACACACATGTATGGGGAGATCTCCAGGTGAAAATTTTGATGGTAGTTTATACACAATGTGGCCAACTCTCTGGATTTTATTGCTGTTCTTGCAATACCAAGTGTACTTCCGGAGTCTGCAGCCACTGCAATACGGTGATTATGTGTGAATCTTGAATTTCATTTCTGAGTAATGTGGTTAACAGAGAAAGCAGGATCGAAGTGAGACCTGGAAATTGAAAACACAGAAGACAAATTAAAAAAAAAAATAGTGATTTTTATTCCAGTCTCACCGTATTCTGTGGTTTGTCATGATTTTTAACACAATGCTTTGAAAGGGGTTGAGAATTATTTCATATAAGGAGATAGATGTTAACTGTGGAGTGTGTGGATATGCAACACAATGTTGCAATCTTCTCACAGGACACCTATAGCTGCAGAGTTACCATGTGCAGGGAACAGTACTGAAGCAGCTGCCATTTTATGCTTTAGTTGTGATGCTCTGGGACCAAGTGTGTGCCCCTTCTGCTTTTTTTTTCTCTCACCAGAGAGCTGTGTGTACTTTTTCTTTGGAGGAGAGTTTACATCGTCTTTGTTGTCTCTTACACAACTCACAGCATTATAAGCTATGCTGAAGTCTAATCATGCTTTGACTCATGCTGTGTCCTTGACCACAGAGAGGCTGTGAATTTCACAGGTTAATTATACTTTGGGTGTAACAATATCCATGTTAAACGATATGACTTTCTGTTTCATTGGATACCTCCTTGTTCTTGTGTTTTGAGAGATGGAAAAAAGAAATGAAGAAGTGAATGGAAGAATAAGTCTGCATTTGTTGTCTCCTGGGCTTCCATCCCAAACATTGAGTCCCAGGCTCCATAATGTTATTAGCAGATGTGACACATTTTGAGGCATTGTTCCAGGGAATAGTGCCAAAAATCCTGATGATGTCTCAGCCATTCAGAAGAGGATTGGTTCTGCTCACTAGTTAGCACAGTGTGCAGGCTCTCTGTAACCTGCACCCTCCTGTGTTTACTACAAAGGAAGAGAGGATAATAAAAGGGTAGAGAATACCCAGGATCTCATTTACACCTTTTGTTTAAGGATCTCCATCACTTTCTGAATGTTCTTTAGTGGGCTTTAGATACTGTCTAGTGTATTGTCTGGGCTTCTGGTATCTAGTTGTGCAATACCTTGCTACTCAAGGTATACCTTGAATTGCTAAGGAATACCTTACTATCTTGCCATTCAAGAACTGGAGCTTTTGATCCTGATACTGCCTTCACCTGTAGTGAGAGACGGTCATTTCTTCAGGAGCTTTTGATGAAAACAGAGAATGTAGAGACAAATTTGATCTCAAGTTTCCTGAGCTGTGGGACAACACTCTCTTAGTGACTGGAATCTTAGAGCTTGGCGACTGGGTCAGTATCTTCTTTGACATGTATGTTCAAACTGAGCCACAGTGTAGCTAAGAAGGTGATGGGCTACTAAGTTCAGACGAGTGTGGTCTATAAGAGTGGCCACACACATTGTATTTTAGTAACAGAAGCAGATGAGCAGCTGCAGGCAGGGATAACTTTTTTTTTCCTGCAGAGGCAGATGAAATTAGCCAAACTTGATAAAATTCCCCAGAAGCTTGGTGCAAAGGTTTTGGGTGGTGGCTGCTACAGATCTGCAGTCATAAAAGTGCATTTTGTAAATGGGATGGAAGGCTGACCTCTATAACTGCCTGGGGCATTGTGTGATAAGCATTTTTTTTTAACTACGAGCTTCTTACCCTGAGAATGGGAGCTGAGGGGGTGAATGTTTTCCTGCAAGTAAGTCCTGGGGATTGGTTCACATGTACGGAACTTGTAGTTCCTTCCCCTGCCAGTTACTCAGCTGAGCTATTCATTGTCAGGCAACTTCTCTGTAAAGGGCTAAAGCAGAGGCTGTAAGCACAAAAAAGTTGCACACGTCAAAGACTGTAGCTTTTCCTAAACTGTGTGAAACTTTCCCAACATGTCCCAGAGCTGTGGAGATACTCTTAGAGCATGCTAAGGCTAAGGTGGGGGGGATGTACCCCTCCAAAACAAGGTTTCTGTTTCTGGTGCTTTGCAAGCAGATCAGAGGCCAGACCAGGGCGCCAGGTTGCCTGCAGCACAACTAACATTGCCTGCATCAGGAAGGGATCCAGAGTGTGGCATACAGACAGCAACTGTTGCTCAGCTTTTCCAGCTATCTAGAATAGATCTGACAAGCAATTAGAGCATGAATATATTACAGAGCCGATGGGGGATGCCTTTGTTAAAACTTGTGACCCATACTTAGCTGCTGTTTACACTGGCGGCAGCTTCGAGGGTGGGCAAGACCCTACCTGCCTGTCTTTCTCCTCTTTCCTTCCCCACGCGGAGGGAGCTGGGGAGCTCTGCATCTCATTGGATATTTCAAATGCTTTCTGCACAAGTCATAATTAATGCCGAGTTGCGGAGCTAAGACCAGATGTGCTGCCGAGATTATCTCCCAGGGCAGATCGGCTGCTCTCCACTCTGTAGTGCTGGGTGAATGGAAAGCTGCCAGTGCTGGGACTCAGAATGTGTCTGATGCCTGAAGTCAGGACTTTCTTTCTCTGCCGCTCCTGCTGTTTGACACTGCCTGGTTTCTGCTTGAAGCTCAGCGCCTGTCATGTAGCAGAGTGCTGCACAAGAACAAGAGGTATGAGATTATTTTCCAGAGTTTAGATTTGTTGTGGTTTTCTTTTCCTAGAGGAAAAGCAGATATTTGCACTTAACCTCAGACAGAAGCTAAGAATCTAAAAAAGGAACTGGCTTTGCAAAGGGGGAAGGAGTGAGAAGGACCCAGTCTATGGCCAAAAATACTACTGGATGCCAAGCTAGCATTTGAAGATAGTTCTGGGGAGGTGTGCTTCTGTTTGCTTTCACATAGAATATTAAAATGAATGTATGTGGATGAGAGCAATTGACTGGAGGCTGCTCTTTGTGGGGAATGGGGTCGAAAGACACCAAGTTCTACCACAGACACATTTGTGTGACCTTGGGCAAGTTACTTCATCAGTTTCTCTAGATTCCTAATTATCTATTGCTTCCTTTCCTGTCCCCCATTATTGCATACTTTGTCTGACTGAATTGTTTAGTTGTTAGACACTATCTTTTCTTAGGCATGCACAGCTTCTAACACGGAACTCCTTTTGCAATTGCTGCTGCAGTATTTCACATTGTGCATGCTTGGGTGGGCCAGGGGAGGGGAAACAAGAGTTAAAGGTTTGTGTGTGTTTTGTGCTGCGGAAGCACATGCATTTCTGAATGTCTGACCATGATTTTTTTTCTCAGTGCTTTCATGTGTGAGACGGACAGATAACTGGGAGCCTAAGCATGAATGTGGGAAGGTAAAAGCAGACGCTCACCTGTGCAGGTGAGCACGTACACAATCTGTACATCCGTAAACTGCCTGTCTGTGAGGCACCACATGGACGCACGGGTGTATGTACTGCTGTATAGCAGCATCCAGGTGTGTGCATGATTATCTTCCCGCACATCTTTTAACGTGTGTGTACTAAGCTGTACATACAGCTGATGTAGGTGTGTCTGGACTTTTTTCACTTTAAGCACATATAGAGTCCTCAGTCGTCCTCATAAAGAAAATCTACTGAAGAACTGACTTTATTATCTCTCTCTTTAGTTTTTTTTGGTTGAAATCAGAGTTCTGATGAGGAAAAATGAAGCACGGAGCATATATTTTCCTGCCCACTACATGTCTGGACAGCATAGCTGAATGTATAGGCTTTGTATGCCTGGAGCTGGTGGGTGAGCTATTCAGGCCAGGACAGAGAGCCTGTCTGTGTCTTAGTCAGTACATCATTCCTGACTTGCTTTTTCCACAAAGAGCCACCTAAATCTTTAAAGAACAGAGACAGTTTGTTGGAGTAGAGGAAGGAAATTCTGTAGCTCTGCTAGCCCATTTTTTTTAGTATCTCTTGAATCTTTCTGAGATTAAAGATGCAGTCCCAGGCATGCTGCGGTTTTTTTCTGCTTTCAAACCAAACAAAAGGGCCTAGCTATAGATAAGAGTATGACAAGGAAAGTTAACCCTTGGGTTGCTAGTAGCTTTTGGCTTTATTTCTAGCCTAACTCTGTCTGGGAGTGTGACTGGATGGCACTGGCTCCCCTTCTTCTGAGTGAAGAGAAAGACTTTAATGTCTTCCAGCAGAATCATCAAATGGAGTGAAACGCTGCCAAGTTCAGTCTGAGCTGCGGCCCCCAGTGATTAAAAACAGGCTTGTGCCTTGAGGAGCCAGCAGATGAGGCTGTGTGTGACTGGCTCCACGTTAGCTTTTCCTTGTAAGGCAGGGCAGTCCCTGTCTGGCCTGGCGATGCTGTGATATCCTGGTAGTTTCGGGGACATTTTACTACATCAGTTTCACAAGCTCTTCTGAGACCTAGCTTGAAGTGAGATGAGCTTTACAGAGATAGCAGGACACTGCCTTCTCAGTCTGCCCTGTTTAGCCCTGGGAGACTGAAGTAGAGTCATCTGCTATGTCTCTTGCCAGTGTAGCTGTGAGAGCCCTAGTGGTAATTTTCTTGGGAGTGAACTTCATCAAGACCCCTAGCAGATGCCCAGATGAAAGATTTCTGCAAGGCCAGAACTGTCAGCAACTCCAACTTGCCTTTGACAGTCTCTTTCCAGCCCCACTCCAAAGATAGCTCTTAGCTTGCTCCTTCTCTGAACCCCAACACTAATTTCCTTTTCTAAGCCGTGGACAACCTCTGCAGCCACTGCACAGATGAACGATTTCTCCAGGGCCAGCTTTCCAACCTCACTCTAACTGCAACTCTGTGTTTTCTGTCTCTCAACTCCAACCCTAATGCTCTGACTGCCAAAAGACTTGGTCTGGGAGCAGTCTTTCTTCTGAGCAGCGGCTGGGGGGGGTCCTTGTCTATGGCTCAGCAAAAAAAATTAGGGGCTACGATAGAGAGAATGGAAAAGCATAGAGCTGCAGTGTAATTGGGGCTTCAAAGGGAAGGTTGCAGTTACTAACAGTTTTGGCTTGGGCAAAATATTTTGTCTGTGCAATGCTTGGTGACCTTGTCCAGTGCTTCCTGGGAAAATTAGGGTTCGTGGTTGAGGGAAAGGGAAGACAGATCTGAAAGTGGAGTTAGGTTGGAGTCAGGCTGCCAAACCAGGGTAGGCGGGAGCCAAGAGAACTGGGCTGGGAGAAGTCTTTCACCCTGGCAATGACTTCAGAGTCTTTTCTTCCCTTTGTCAAAAAAATACCTGTGAGGGCTGTGTGATCTCACCTGCACAACCCTTTGGCACACTGTCACACAAGAAGAAATCCACACTTGTGCTAGCTCCTTTCACTCATCATATGACAGGTAGATCAGCTTCACTCTCAGTCATGTCAATCTTGGTTTCATGGCTGGTTTTTCTTGTTACCTATCTGAAATGGTGTGAAGGGAGGTGAGCAGTATTGCAGTAGAAGAGTATTTCAGTGCCTTTTTTACCTCCAAAGATCACTGTTTCCATCCAGGAGAAAAAGGTGTTACCAACCTCCATGCCTCAGAAGGGGGAAAGACCAGAGTCCCCAGCATCTGGTTCTGCAGCAGACACCCATAGTAATGTTAATACTGTGCTTGTGAAAGGCCCATCTGCTGTTCCTTCTGAATCCCAAAGCAGGTTATCCTTCTGTTATCTTAGCGTCACATTCCTTAACCTCTGTGTCAACGGTCTCTGTTTGGCTGCAGTCAGCTTGTTACTCAGGATTCACTGACAGGTTGATTGTATCTACAGAAAGCTCCTGCTGTTGTGATCCAAGTTGACTGAGAAGGCAAGGACTGATGTTGCCTGAAATGTATTAGAGCGTGTTGCTGACCACAGACCAGGATAGGGAGAAGCAGACAAAGCTTCACCACTGCAAGTGGAGATTATGCGTGTAGTTGTTCTGTGTGTGCTTGCTTATGTGTGTGTCTGACACTGCCTTTGAACTTGCTGTGAGTTACTAGAACATGAGTTTCTGGAACAACAGTATCTCTGTGCTCTGTATCTGGGAAATGCCGAACATTTACCTCTTTCCCAGAGCGTTCTCTAGACAGGCCTTTTAGCAAACAGGACTGTGATTCAGCAAGTAGAGATTTGAGAAAATAGGGCTGCTATCCTGTAATTGCCTTGACATCTGCCACAGCTTGACCTCCCTAAACCTGTATGTCTTGCATCTAGAAGAGTGAATACCATGTATCATTTTAAGGAAAGAGATGGGTTTGGTGGGAGGAAGCCTGGCTCAGAGATTGATGATAGAATATGGATTTTTTTTGTCTCTGAGGTGCACAGCTTGGGGTCTGACCCAAGCTTGCTGTAACTAATGCTGAAGGACCTTGTTTGCATTGACCTGTGGCCCAGGATCAAACATTCAGGTCAGAGGAAGAGGGAGAAATGGTCACTAGCGGAATATCATGAGGGAGGTTAGACAGGACATGTGTTCCTGCTCAGCTTTTCACAGCTGAGGGGGCTGCACTGTAGCTTGCAACTCTTGTTACCTGGGTCATTCTTGAGTGTACTTACTATGATATGCAATGTTGAGAGTTAGTGCCTCATGAGCAGGATTAGCAGAGAGGCTGAGCCATGAACAGACCATGGAGAGTTTACTTTTTCAGCTATGACCTGGATTTGCAAGTTATCTGAGAAACTGGGCTGAAAAGGTTGTTCTTTCATGGCTGCCCAGCCTCTTTAAGTGCCCTGGAAACCCTTGGACAATGCTGAGCCACACATACCAAGCAATTCTGCTGTGCCCCGTCATGACAGCAGGGATTGCGTGATGACGTTACAAAGCAACCTGTGTGAAAACGGGAGGAGATTCCCTGTCCTAGAACGTGACTTCAGAGACACCCATCTTAGTGAAAATTCAAACAGATTAGAAACAACAACTAGTAAAACCTTTACTCTACAAGAAAACCAATATTTACAGTGATAAAGGTAAGTCACTCCCATGCTCCAGGGCATGCCCTCCTGCCAGGATAAGGAGGGAATTTCCTTCGAGACTTTGTGGCCCTCCAACTCTGATGCTGTAATACAGTTGTGTAGGCCGGGGTGTAAGAAGGTTTTTGTCTTCTAACGTATAACAAACTGGCAGGGAAAGGAAATTGGACTTCAGGATCCTTCTTGCGTGTTTCATTCAGGGAGCTGAAATGGATAGTGAAGGGTTTGTTTCACTCAGGATTTAGCAGAGTTGGACTGAATATAGAAAGCAGGTATGATTTGACATGATGTCTCCCATGAAGGACAGTGAATGATGGTTAGGAAACTTCTTGCCAGGAGTTATCAACCTCCCATCAGTGTGGCACTAAAATGAAAGTGGAAAATGTGGTTACTAGCAGGAAGGTAAGTAAAGCCTTAAGAAACAACCAAAATCCCCTGGCCTGGTATAAGCACATGCATGCAGCCATTAAGCACTACTTCTGGCTATTGGTTGAGAACACAGTGTAACTCCCATATTAAATGCTTTTTTTTCAGACCTGCAGCATTAACTGAGTGCTGAATGCCTGATCTAAAGCTCCTTAATATCAGTGGAAAGCTTCCTGTTGCTTTGAGAAATCTTTGAATAGAATTTCTTATCTGCTATACTCTGGTCTCATCTGAAATTGTGTAGATTCTGGGATTCTCTCACTTACTGAATTCTTATTACCAAAATATGGTTAACTTGGATGCTATCCTCCCTGCTATCCACCACACGTTTTAGGGTGCTTAGAGTTAAGGGTTCAGACCACAACTCAGTGGCTGTGCTTTTAGATGGAGCAGTCCCCTTGTGGCAGGGATTGTACTAAGACCTCTGGGTCTTACAGCCTGAGCCCCTTCTGTGTTGTCAAAAAGATCTGGTGCCAATAGTGGCATTCAGCAGCTGATGTTGACCGGAAACTCCAGTCTTCCCAAAGATAGAGACCGTGCTTCATACCTTGTGATATAGATCTACAGTAGATCTGACTTAAGAATTACCTAGGCCAGTCTGTTTTTTGAGTATCTGGTGCTTCCAATATTTTCAAGGTGCAAGAAGTGCAGTACAAACATTTTAGTAGGAAGGGTGATGTATTTTACATGCATTTTACTCTGTTTTAATTTTCATTCAGCAATTTTAATTAAAGGAAATGAAATAGAAATGCAAAGCCTGCAGGATGGTGGGGGAATTTCATAATAGCCAGTTTTAATGTTGACAACTGTATTCTGTCATGTTAACAATCCCCTGCTAGTGAGATTGCTACCTGTTGGGCTTTATTTGGCATTCTCGGGTCAGCAGGTGTAATGGAAATATAATTACTTAATCCAGATTCAGCATAGCTGCAGATAACCATTAATCATAGAATGGTTTGGTTGGAAGGGACCTTAAAGATCACCTGTTTCTCCCCCCCCTGCCATGGGCAGGGACACCTTCCACTGGACCAGGTTGCTCAAAGCCTCATCCAACCTGATCTTGACCATAATATGATATGAATATAATATAAACATAATCTTAAGCCCACCTTCCTTGTGTATAATGAAATATAAACTGGGTGAAGACAGAGGGTAGTTTGAAGCACTCTTAAGCAGGAAAAAAAAAAAATCACTCAATATAATTCTTGGGTTTAAAAATAATTTTATTCTTCTAAGTCTGTTAGAAACTGGACCTTCACACAAGTTCACCCCTCTGTGTGGAAGTTTCCCTCATTGTATGCCCTGAGCAGTAGCTCAAGGGGAGTTCAAGCTGACTCCCAGATGTCTCTTTTGCTCTCTGTTGTCAGGGATCTTTGGACAGCGATTGGAGGACACTGTGCAGTACGAGAGGAAGTATGGCCAGCGCTTGGCCCCACTGCTGGTGGAACAGTGTGTGGATTTTATTCGGGAGCGAGGTCTTACAGAGGAGGGGCTCTTTCGGATGCCTGGCCAAGCCAACCTTGTCAAAGATCTGCAAGATTCTTTTGACTGTGGGGAGAAGCCCCTTTTTGACAGGTGAGTTGACAACACCAAATTCAGGCTGGTTTATCTGTGGCATGTAAAGTCTGGCAGGGTTGGCCTTGCAGTGTCTATCCTAGTTTACACGTTCTTTCCACACCATCATTCTCTTCATGTAAAGTGCCGCTGGGGCTTTCTTTGCATGGCGCTGGGTGCAGAGGCCTTCATTCAGCTAAGTGCTTGAGCAGAGGGAGAAATTGAGCCCATTTACCTAGATGAGGCTACTCCAGTGTTTCAGCCTAAGCACATGTTGAATGAAATGCATTGCTACATTTGGGTGTGGTATACCTGGCGGTTTGGATCCCACCATAGAAGTGGATATGATAGAGGTGAATTAGGTGTTTTACTGCTTTCAGATATTGCATTCGCCCTTGCTGCAACTACAGCGAATCTGCCTAGGGGCAATATCTTGACTCTTCCCCTTCGTTTGTCACAGGTTTCAGAATAGTCACCATCATCTCACATGTTTTCCATGGCTGTTACGTGTGCAATGTATAGAGTTGGTCAACATGTTGTAACAAAGCACTTTCTGACCCCAGAAGAATTCTTGGCCAAAAGGATTATTTTTTTTTGGTCCATAATTTCAGCAGCGGAGTTGGAACATTTATTTCAAAACTGAATATATCTTTTGATTTTCAACAAAACTTGAGTCAAATGTTTCTGAAATAAAAACAGCGATTTTGCATTTTTCTTCCGAGTAGAAAAATGTTGATGTAATCACTCCTTGCCTGGTACAAAGATGTGCTAGCTGCCTTTTTGTCCTAATGAGCATGCCAATGTCAGGGAAAAGCAAGGGCCAGCTGCTCCACCAAGCAAGGTAACCCAGGAGCCAAGTGTGGTAACAACGCTGGCAGAGGCAGTGACACAGTCCAGTCATCACCAGGCAAGTCCATAGCGATGGGGCAGGTCCAAGATCAGCCTAGGTAATCTGTCCATGAGTCAGGGTCCAGGTTAATGGTCTGTAACCAGGCACAGATATGGCTGTGAGGCAGTGGGAGTTGTAGCTCAGACACAGGATAAACAGTACAGGCACAGCTTACTATCAGCTCCCATGGGAAGAGTGTCGGCCCTGGCTCAGAGCACTCTGTCCAAGCTCAGCAAGGGAAGGAGGACCGCTCTCAGCTGTGCTATCTCAGCATTGGCCCTGAGCCCAGGCAGTCAAATCATCAGGAGGATGGATGCTCTCAGGGCCCTTGCAGCCAAATCCTGTCCATACTCTATAACTAACATTTCCTGCCCTCTCTCCTATATACATGCTACCTGGAGTGAAGGTCGGCATTGTGCCAACCTAAACAGTGCTTTGAGAAATGGGCCTTGACTCTAACAGAAACCTTGAACTCCAGGGATATTTGGATCTAAGGCCATTGTGTAGATCTGCACCAATCTCTTATCACAGGTCCAGAAGTGGGATCAGATCTGGGATCTTGACCTGGAGACCTGGTGTCATTTCTTGCTGGAACTCACTAGCACCACTTTGCAGGTGCTGCAAGCAGCATCTGTTATATTGCCAGCACATTAACCTAGGGGATCACTTCCCCTGGACGTGCACCCAGTCTCGATGTTGCCAATAGCATCCTTGCCTATTGCTGCAGGAAGAGCTAGCACTCTCCTGTGTGGCCAGCACAGTGTTTGGTCTCATCCTGGGAAGAATATCCTTAGAGTTTATTGGGAACATTCTTCTAATTCTTTCCTCCCCTCAGCTTCCCAGACCACCCATCCTCCTTTCTTTGATTCTTAACCACAGTCAGTGTTTGCTCCCTAAATGAAAGTGTCAAATATTTAGAGATCTTTTCATGAAAAAATAGTTTTAAATCTTCAAATTGTCTCACTTCCTCTTTTCTTAAATAACATCTCTGTATTTTTAACTGAATGTCTGGGTGTTCTAGTTCGGAATTAGAATTATCTTAATTCATGTGGAAGTGAACAAAATTATTTTGGAAAAAACTCGTATTCTGGAACAGGAGTATCTATGGAAGGAATTAATTAGGAATGACAGTTTCACTTTCATGTTTTACCTGTGTCTAATCCATACTAACTTCCTTGTCATGAAGATAAGCCAAGCCCCCCCCCCAGCATTTTTAAAGCAGAAAGCACCTTTATTTCCATAGGCATTTGCACTGGCTAAATAGATCAGTGCTAAGTCTCACCTTTAACAGAGGCAGTAAAGATCACCATGAAGGAATGCCTGCCTTTTGGGTAGTTGATTTGATATGTGATAACTGAAGGTTCAGTACAGAATTAAAGGAGGCAAGCTAAGGGGTACCTGAGTAGTGTGACAATAGAGGGTCCCCCAGTCATTGCCTTTTGCTCTTTCTACCATGTCTGCTGCAGCCTGTAGGCCCAGCTCTCTGGTCTTTGATGTATATAGTTACAAATAGCAACAAGGGAGGGGCAGTTACACCCAGGCTAAGCGAAATGCTTCTCCTCATAGCGAGCATAATTTTCTCTATGTATAACTAAAACTATCCATGTCGGGCCTAGGATACCTAGGCAGTGGCAGATATTTTCTGCAAGTGTGCAATCCATATGCATCTTTCCAAATCAAGTGCAGTGATAGGAATATCCTTTTTTTTTTCCTAGTTGGAGTCAGTGCTTTTAGATGTCTTTTGTATCTACAGTGATCGAGATGCTAGACCCTGCCTGCCCCATGGTGGAGCAGACCTCTGTGATGACAGACAATTACAATATTTATTTTTTAAAGGCTTGCTTTTCCAGTTTGGGTTTTAAATGCATATGTATATTCTCATGAAAGGCCAGCTGTTGCTGTTATGGAAGCACCTACAGCAGTCTGCTCCTATTGCACTTCTATGCCACTGAAAGTTTGGCTGGATTTCACATGGCATTGTGCATGCAACAATAACTGCAGCCAGTGGACCCGAAGCTGTAGTCTGGGCTCTGCTTCTGAGTGATAGTCATATCTACCATCCATGCCTGAAACTCCATGCTAAAAAAAGAAAAGAAAAAAAAAAAGAGGAGGAGGGTACTGGCCTCATTTGTAAAGCATTTATAAACAACTGAAGAAAACCACCATGTGGAACTGTGGTATTCTCAAATATGATGGAGCTGTTTAATAGGAATAGCATTATCAGAATTAGTAGCAAGTGGTAGCTGCTGGCAGCTTCCTCTTATTATTTTTCTGTTTTGTTTTAGCTGTGTGTTCCAGAAATGCTGAAAAATATACTAGGCAGAAGAGATTCAGCTTTTAGATAGAGGTGAGGATTTGAAGCTCTGTTGTCCCATGGTCACTAATGTGTTTTTCTCAGAGTTCTTTAAAGACTGTCAGGGCAATGGTGGGTATTGGGGAGCTGGTGACAGAATCTGTTTAGACTTCGAACAGTCGAAACATTTGAGGAGGTCATCTGCAAAGATTAACAAAGTTGTACAACAGGAGACTTATAATGAGGGAGAGGTATCACCATACATCAAAGGCTGAGTAGGAAATGGAAAGTGAAGAACAGATGCATCTTCATTATGGGCTCTGACTCCTCAACTCCAATTTAAAGCAAAGCAGAGGTAAGAGGAAAAAGAAGTTCCTGGAGTGGGAGAGAAAAACTGATATCTCAGCATAACACATGGGCTAGGAAATGCCAGGTACCCCAGCCTGGGGGAGGACATGTGACTCACAAGCCAGGCAGCCATGCCAAATGGTGATAGAGGACCTGGAGGAAATACAGCTTTCTCCATTTTTTTTCCTGAATGATTGACTAGGACACTTGAGAGCCTGGCCCATCAGACACAGGTGGATGCTGGCTGAGGAGAGTATGAGGCAGGAGGGATCAGCGAGAGGATCAAAGGTTATGTTTGATTGCATGAGGATGCAGAGCTGTTTTCAGTGCTACATGGTCACTGTACACTTGCCTGGACTGTGTTGCTCACGTTTCTGATCCACATTGGCTGAGGAACCACAGCATCACCCTACCTTAAGCAGTATCATGGGCATATCCCTTCTGCTGCCTGTGTTGGCTGAGATGCATTTATATCTTGACAAAATGGGACATTTCCCTTGTTCCCAGGTAGACCCTCCTGCCTAGTACAAACATGTGGCAGAACAGCTTCCTTCCATGTGCCTACTTTGCCTGTGTCCCTAAGAGGGACCTTGATGCAGCCCCAATGAAAGGCATCAAGCTTTGGGGTAGTGTGGGTTTCTAAATTTCCTTCCCTCTTCTTTATTCCAGCAACACGGATGTTCACACTGTGGCATCCCTCCTGAAGCTTTACCTTCGAGAGCTGCCAGAGCCTGTCATCCCCTTTGCCAAATATGAAGACTTTCTTTCTTGCGGACAGCTACTCTCAAAAGATGAGGGAGAGGTCAGTGATCCTTCTAATCTGCCTCCTTCTACCTCGAAGGTTCTTCCCAAGGCTCAATGTAGTACAGCTTTCTTCTCATCACTCTTCAGTTCTGATTTAAATCAACGAAGTTCCTGGGAACCTTCCCCTGAATTTTCATGAAGCTATGAACTGGGCACTAGTATCACAGGCTCCTGCTTGAAGCAGGAGATTTTATGAAGTCAGTCTTGTAGCCTGGTGCTTCTTTGTTCTGAACAAAGCTGTTCTGTGGCATAATCAGCAAGAGATGCAAGGTAGGAGATCTGGGTTCCTTTCCCAGCCTTGCTGTTGACTCATTAGCAAGCTGTATGAAGACACTCCCTTTTTCTGTGTTTTCAGTTTCATGTATCGGAACAGGATGTTCTGCTTCCCAAAGTTTTTGGTGGATGAGACCTTGATCAATGTGATGGTCTTTGTATTTCTTAGAGGAAAGGCACTACAAAAGGGCAGGCTATGATATTATCCCAAAAGGGAAGAAATAATGCTATGAATACTTTGCCAGAACCTTCTTATGATGTTCCTCTCTTCGGTTTCCAGGCAAGGGAAGGGGCTGAGAAAAACCTCCAAGTCTGTGGCAATCGTGGAAATTTTGATTCACTGCTTGGGAGGAGCAGGATAGTTTACAATACGATTGATTGATCTGTTTCATCCATATTGTTCCTTTTGTGGTGATGCCTGAGCTCCTTGTTGACTGCACAGGCACGTTGGATCTGGTCTAATGCAGGTGGAACTGTGCCACCTTCTAAAACAGATTTAAAGAAGCTGTAAGGGTTGTTACTAGTGTCAGCTAAAGAAGTAAAGGCCTCAGGGCTTATAAATTGCAGTCCATGGTTCCGTCCCTTTTCTGTGTGTGGCCTCAAGAGCATGCTCACATCTTTGTCTCTGGTGGGGATTGTAAAAACTGTTCTTTACTGAAAGCCTGGGGTTCACCTTTAGTTCAAGTGGCAGAAGGCTCTGCGGAGATTCAGTCCTTCATGATGCCCATGGGAAGATGCTTGATTGCATGCATCAAATGTAGCGTATCTGGTAATGTGAGTTTTTAATGGATAAAAGGCAAGTTTGCTGCTATCTGTACTCACATGGTGTATGTACTCATATGATGGATCCTCTAGCCAACTCTGAGAAAGCACATTTCTGTGTATGACACAGTATATTACCACACATGGATATGCATTTGCATCCTGGACACAGCCACATCAGTGTGTCAGTGCACTAGTGTTGCCTTTTAATAGGTACAGATACTAGCTCCAAAACTTGCTCGTTTTCTGCCTTGTCCTCAGTCAACTTGGGCATCTCTGCAGGGTGCTATGTTACAGACAGCACAACAGTTGATTTCACAAGAAACAGCAGCATTTCTAAGGCAGTGGAGCTGGTTTCATTTTGGTCAGCAGGTGTGCAGTCTGGGAAGTTTTGCATCTATTAAGCAGTATTGCACAAGAGTAGAGACACTGCCAAGACTGGCAAACATAATTGTATATCACTGCTCAGCTTATTAACTACGTAGTTTGCCTGATTTTGTCTGCACAGGCTGCAGTGGTTTGGGAAGCAACATCTGTGTTGGTTTTGTGGGAGCGAGGCCAGACTCAAATTTACGTGTAGTGCAATATTCTCTTTGGATTAGAAAGGCAACAAGGAGCACTAGATGACCAAAATGAAAGCTTACAAAATACGGTACTGCTGATAGCTCAAAGTTGTCTTGTTAAGCTGCTGTAGTAAACATAAGTGTTATTTTTTTTTTGTCAGGAAAATCTGGAACCTCAACAAGGGTTGTTTACTTTTTCAGAAAGGAAGATGGAGTGCATACACCAAGGGTGGAGAGGCTGTACGTGCGCAGTAGCATGTGGAGCAGAGGGTAGCACAAAGTCATACCCAGCCTGTAGGGCCTGACTTGCCTCCCATGTGCAAAATCCCCCCACTCAAAAATGTGGTTTCACTGAAACCGTAATTTTTAGCACAAAATGATAAGCAGGGAATTTCAAAATCAAACGTTTCATTTTGCAAAAGTATTTGGAAACAAAATGCAATCTATTGTTTTAATCTGAAGTGCTATTTTATTTCTATTTTTCACTTGGAAGTTTTGAATGAGACTTTTGAACTCAAGATACAATTTTCTTTAGTTTTGTACACCCACCCTCCAATAAAAACAGAATTACTTGAGGCAAAATAGCCCTTCAGATAAAATTATTGGCACCTCATGCTGCTACATTGTGAACATAGGTAGGAATTACTATGATGTTAGCTTGGCATAATCTCCATCTGCAGCAAAAAATACTCCAGCACTGCCTTAAACTTTCCATTTTCCATTCAGATTGCTGTTCATCTTCATTCTGCACCCAACTAATCTCTGGTGTTGGAATGCAAACAGAAGCGTAACAGAGACCTTGGGTCATGTTGAGGCCTCCAGGTATCTCAGCAGGACTGCAGCATTAAAAAAGATTTGATTCTGATCCAAACTGGTTGAGAGGAGGGATTGAAAATTAAAACCAATTTTAGAGTAAGAATGAATGAAAGATCTCCAAATCTCTAAAAGCTCATTTGAGTCTGAACTGACTTGACATGGTAGTATTTTAGCCTTCACTGCTGCCTGTACTCTAGCAATGCACACAGCAGTTCAGTGGGCTAAGCGCATAGCTTTGCGTTTTTAAAAAGGGGTTTGAATTTGGGTGAACATCAGTAGTGTTGCTAGTTTTCCAGCCCAACTGGAAGCTCCTAATTGGTGCTGATCTCTTACGCACATTGCAAAATCCTTGGTTTTAGGATCACTCCTTGGAAAGCATACACCTGTGGCAAATTAGACATGCAGCATTTTCAAGGAGATAAGAGTTATTACTGCAAAATACCATGATGAATGACAGTGCAGTGCCTGTAGTGCTTGCTAGGCTGCAGCTATAGGCATGATCAGTGCTATTTGTTAATAATGCAGCAGTTTCTAGCTTGCATTTTCCTTTATGCTTTCGTTTCAGTGCTACTAGGCTCAGCCTTCTGCCATCTGTTGGTCATGGTTGTTGGGTAGAAATCTGCGGCAGAGCTGATAAATAGTT